TGTGAAAAACTCTGGGACGACTCTTAAACCAGGGGGTCCTCAAACCCCCCCCCGTGTGGCATAAACCTCTGGCGGGGACGCCTCTTGCTAAATCTCTCCTAGTACCAATAGGATATATCAAAACTGTGATTGATTGGCTAGAGTTGTGTGCGTTATTTTCTCAAGTTGAAAGATTAAAGAACACGTAAGCCCTCTTCAGAATGCTGTTTCAAGGAGCCGTATTAATTATGAATGTGTGAAGGCGTGATGTAGGGAGGCATTACAGGGGCGAGAGGGGATCGTTGGAGCCTGCAAGGGAGAACAGTGCTGTATGTTTGTTGTATACCTTCCTTAAAGATAGAGTCAGTATTCCTAACAAATAAAGACTTATACAAAAGTACTTACCACTCTATCATTACTTAGGCTCCTCCATATATGTGTGGAGGTGACATGCCTGCAGAGAGACCCCTGTCCTCTGCCCTGATTTTGATGCTTTGTTTTGGTTGACTTGGACATTCCTGGGTGGGGGAGCTGGTGTGTTTCCCTCAGCCAATGACAGGGCATAGGAGTGAATACAAGTCAGCGATTGGGCGCTATTTAAACAGGTGAATGTGATGGACTCGGATGTAGCCACAAAGTAGAGAAAATATAATCATTGTGAGGTGAAATGCTAAGTGTAGCTTGTTCCAAATAAGTATGAACCTTGTGTTATCTTTTACCGGCAGGCGCAGAGTTGGTCTGCTTTCTGTTGGACAGACAGGTGGTTAGCTTGTGCTAGCATGTGTAACGTAAACGTGCACACTTCATCCTGCGGTGAGGCTGAGGTTGTGGGGGCAATGAGCCCAGGAGGAGGGGCCCAGTTTGAACAGCAATGCTACTGACTCTACCTTTAATCATGTATTTAACCTTAAATGGGTTTATAACTGGCTAAATACACATTACAGTGTATTGCATACGGCTTTAAACAAATGATCAAGGCCATAAATCCGTTAAGAGATAGATCGTGTCATTTACTTTAAAACAAATCCGTCTTAGTTTGCAGTTCCTGTAGTCGCCCTCTGCTGGCCATCAGACAGAATTCAGTTATTAAGACACTTGAGCTTCACTTTTGAAACCATGGGGCTACTTCAACTACATGGAGTCAGTCTATTATTTGACCTCCATTGTTGTAGTTTAAAACCTTCCAATGTGTGCATTTTGAAGGACAGTCTGAGTAGCTGCTACATGTGTAATGTAAAGTCTCTTAAGTCAAGTCCAACAAGTAGGCTATATGTCGTTAGAGAAAATGTATGAAACATTATGAAAACATTTAGTGGCTATTGAACATGACATTTGAGCCCTTTGAAGTGATGCCGTTACATAACAGTCAGACCTGGTTAGCTGCAGCCAGACAAAGTTCTTCTGTATTTATATTTAGCATCGCTCAGCAATAACCGATTCCCTGCTGTCAACACGGATCCTTCTCCTGCTGAGCTCTTGGCCAAAGACAACACAGCTCCCCCTGTTCGGGATTTATTTTGGTTTTTTGGTTCTGCTTCAGACCTGATGGTGTCACGAAGCTCCAAAAAAGCAGCAGGGTTTGTGGGAAATGTAGTTTTTTTTTTTTTTAAAGAAATCATTTCGAAGTCACACTATGAATGATTTATGGTAATCACATGCAATTACGGTTCATTTGATAACATAATAATGATACATTTTTTAATTCTGTGTGTTCGTAGGTGGCAGGTTTGGTGTGCAGAATTTTTCAGCACCTTTTTCCTGTACTTGCTGCTCACCCGTGTCCTTCGTTTTGCATGCTCATTTATTTATCTCAACACCTACACACACACACACACACACTCGCTCTCCCTCAGTTCATCTGTCTTTCTCCCTTTTCTCTCCCCTCTCTGCCGCGTGGAGATAAAGATAAGCGGATTTAGCGGGCTACATTGTGTACGAGCGGTTAAATGATTTAGATTTCTATAGCGTGCAAAACCGATTTCTGTATTTCCATATTCGGGTGTGATCGCTTGTCAGATAAGAAGTCGTCTCTGCACTTTGACATGGCTCTGTGTGTGTGTGTGTGTGTGTGTGTGTGTGTGTTTTAATTGGTGCTTGTGTGTGGATCTCAGGATGTGTTGATGGAGAGGTGTT